ATCCAAGCTGTCGACACTCTGAGGTGGACTCTGCTTTGGCCACTGACTGGCAATGGGACCCTGGTTAGGATCCCATTTCTCTGCTCCATGCCTCAGCACCATCTGAGGATGAAGGCCGGTAGCTTTGATATCCCTGGATGGTAGGAAGATTAAGTGAAGTGGCACACGTAAATGCTGCACCAAGGGGGCACTGATAAATACCTGTTCCCCAATCCTAATAATGGCATGTGCAGAGCATTGACCCAATCTGCATAGCACCCTGTGAGGGTCCTGTTATTGTCCCATTTACAGATGAAGGTACCAAGGCATGCATGGGTTTCGTCACTTGGTCTAATGATCTGATCCCATTCGAGTTGAGCCAGAGCGGACGGGCCAGAGGCTGTGCTCGTGGGCACTAACTACACTGTGTGTTACAGTAGAATCTGCAGAAGTCCAGACCTCAAGGTGGCATTTCAAATTTTGATATTTTCTTCATCATGCATTTTTTGGCATTATTTTAAAATGTATTGCACTAAAATGTTGTTTAACTTGGCTACTGAGATTTTTGGAACCCCCCTTAAATCTTGTGCCTCAGGTAAAGGTCCCACCTGCCCTGCTTTAATCCCAACCCTGCCCTGGGCCCTCAGTGACATTCCCAACTTGGCCCTTTCACTCGGGGTAAGAAGTTGCTGGCACTTGCAGAAGGCACTTTTGACAATGAAGTAGATTTTAATGATTTTTTTCTTCCTGTTTGTCACACAGTTCTGACAGGTGACTCTCTGGTTTCTTCCTTTTACAAATAAAACTGAAGCAGGCCTAGGGTGATGGGCAGAGGACAGAAGTGGGACAGCCTGACACTGGAGTCAGACAACTTCTCCATGGGGTTTTATGGATCCTGTTTGTTAGGAATTCTTGTTTCTCAAAAATCTCTGTCTATTCAAGGAAGGGAACATTTGAACGTTTTACTTCAATAAACAAGGCTTCTTAACTTCAGAAGAGAGCCGAGGCTGTCTCTGTTATTTCCCCTGGATATCCAGCTGTGTTCCCCAGGAACACATTTTCACATCATGATCTGATGCTCATTTTGTCTTCTCACCTGCTTATCCTAAAATGTGCATGTTAGTAAGGCCTTAGACATGTTTCACTGAATGAATTGGTTGGTAGCACCTGCAGGTGTGGCCACAAAATAACTTTTATATGATAGAGACGACACTTAACTTGGCTCTAACAGCCATACTGTGAGTTGGGATGTCCATGCCTGACTTGGGCCTGGCTCTGTGGGTGATGGGGATGGCGGTTTGATGGAACATGGTGACTTTCAGAGTCTGGAGGAAATCCAAGTAGACATCTTTGAGTGAGAAAAAAAAAGAACTTGTTTAGAAGAGGGGTCTGGGCTACAGAGAAGTTTGGGTGCCATCAGCATAGAGGTTCATTCATTTATTCAGTAACATTTTATTGAGCACCTGCACTGTACCTATCCTAATATGGTCACACTGGCCTTCCTTCACAGAGATAATGTTTAGTGGATATGTGGCTCTCAGGGGGCAATTAAAGCCATGGGAAGTAGCTGAGATCTCCCCTAGGGTACTCATGGAGTCAGGTAGAGTCTGATTCCAAAAAGCCACTTGCAGAGAATCCTGAAGGAGACTGAGCAGCTGACAGACAGAAATTTGTTCAACTCTTCACATTACAACAAAATACGCAGATCATCAAGATTTTTTTTAAGAAAATAAGATAACTAAGGAAGTGTAAACTCTTGTACACTCGTTGTGAGAGGCCTATACATTGATACGGTGTTTGGGGAGAGGCTGTTTGGAAATATGTGTCAAGAGCCTGAAAAATTTGTCTGCTATTTCCTTTTAGGAATTTAAGAATGGATTACAATCTGTTATTTAATCATGAATATATGCAAAGGCTTAGGCACAAACCTGTCATTACAATGTTGTTTATACTAGTGGATAATTGGAAACCACTTGAATGCCTAAGTGTAGAGGATTAGTTAAATTAACGATCCACATGGTTCTAAGCCACCACACAGCCATAAAAATAAAGACATAGAGGATCTTTAACAACATGGAAAATATTCATGATATGTTTTTGTGACAAAAAAGAAACTTATGAACTAATTTATAAGAAAAAAAAACAGATTGAGAGAAGATATTTGCAATTTTTAAAACCAACAAGGGACCAATTTCTAGAATAAACTTTTGCAAAGCAACAAGCAAAAGACAGGCAAGGAAAAATAAGCATAGGTTATGAATAGTCAGTTTGCAGAAGAGGAAATCGAAAAGGCTAACAGGCAGACAGAGAAGCTCAGACTCATTAGCAGGTTAGAGAAATGCAAATTAAAACGACAACCAGGGATTGCTTTACCTCATTCAGATTGGCAAACATTAAAAAGTGGGTGGTGCCAAGCAGGAGTGTGGATGAGATGCCAAGCAGGGGTGCGGAGACTTCACAAGCTCTCCCTGTGTGTGTGTGTGTGTGTGTGTGTGTGTGTGTGTGTGTGTGTTGTGGGGAGGGGAGTGGTGTGGGTGTGCTGCCAGCTTTCCGGAAGCATCTTAGCTGCTGGTACATGGTTGAATCGAGCAGGTATATATCCTTGACTCAGCATTTCTGCTCCCATGTTCATAGCCAGAGCCAGTCATGTGAAGCTCATGAGGAGAACTGAGTGGGAATGTCCAGGACAGGACCGAGTGCAGTACGGGAAGTTGTTGTCACTGCAGAGTGAACAAATCAAATAGGCACATTTACAAAGTGATGCCCACTTTGTAACACAGGACAGCAGTTAAAGGAAATGAAGTTGACAAACACAGAGCCACATGGTTAAGTCTGAAGGTGTAATGCTGAGTGAAAAAGTGAGCTGCAGAAAAAATACAGAAGGTTATTCGTCAAACTTCAAATGCATGCATTCAGAAATCTCTCACCTGTGCCAGGTTTTATAAGGACCCGTGATGTTACGTAGGTGTGGTGGGCGGGGTGGAGGTGAGGAGGAAGGAGGGACTGGCAGTGGGGCGTGGAGGTCCAAGGAATAAGTGGATAAACTACCAAAACGATAGAGAAGCCTGGCCCAGGTCAAGGAAGCAACTGCTGGGGCGGAGGGGTGTGAGGCGCCCCACTCCCTGCCCCTGAGGGTCAACCCAAAAAGAAACAAATCAAACCCCCACCAATCTCCAGCCCAACCAACCAACCAATGAAAGCAAAAGTATAAATGAAAAGTTTCCCTCAACAATATTATCAGTGTGTTTTAATTAAACTATATATTCATAGGTTGAAGCAGGAATATCAACAGTCATTTTTCTGGGTATGGGCAACCTTGATATTCTTCCTGATATTTTGTTCCTTCCCAGTTTTCGACACTGAACTGACATGGCTTTTGTAAAAAGAAAATGATTCATGTGAGATGGAAGAAGAGCCAGGAACATGTGGAGCTTTTTTACATGAAGAGTGAGGAAGTTTTGAAGAGGGGATGGCTAGTCTGGCCATGTGATCCTTAGTTAACGCCCATGCTAGCCTGCAAGGGGTGTGTGTTTGGGCTAAAAATAAAGCATGCTATACCCCCTCAGCTGCTGTAGCCCAGAACAAAACACTGGTGGACCCACTCTGTGTGCCCATTTGTCTGGTTGCTACCCCTGGATTCGTGGTTGTTGGTTGCTGACCAGATTCCTGGATGGATTCCTATATGGTGACCTTGTGTTTTGGGGGTGGGGGCTTCTTGCAGAGGGCCTGAACAGCCTGGTGCCTACTCAGAGCTTCCTCTGCTCCTTACAACCAAACCAAACAAACATTTCTGGTGCTCGGTCAGTCATGATTCACAAGAGTATGCAATTGAAAAGTCAAGGACACAGAATTATCAGGGCCGGCTGAGTGACACAATGGTTAAGAGCTGGCTTGGGACGCCAGAGGGCCCCGGTTCGGATCCCACATATGAGGGCCAGTGACACTGCCCTCTACAGCTAAGATGCTGAACAACAGCTCAACCTGGAGGTGGGCTGCCGTGAGTTGCCGTTGACTGCGTAGGCTGCAGCCCCTGCTGTAGTGGGTTGCCATGGGCTACCGTGAGCGGCCAGCAGCTGCAGTGAGCGGCCGTCCAGAAGCCAGCGACTGATCTGCCTCGCCTGGGAAGAGCGCAATGATGGTGCCAACTTGGGCCAGTGAAGCAACATCCATCCTCCACAACTAGACTGAAGAACAAAAGGACAGCAACTTGTCTGTTCCCCTTCTTCCAATTCCCCAGCACTGTTCCCATCCTCCAATTTCCCAATAAAAATCTTAAAAAAAAAAAAAGTCAAGGACACAGATAAAGGTACCTTCTTGAGGTTATCTATCTGGCAAATTGGTTTTTGGCTATTTTCATTGTACAAATTCTTGTCCTTATGCCTACTGACCTGAGATCTCTTGCACAAATTGCTCCTGTTTGTACTAATAGAGAAGGATCTTTAAGTTACGTGGGGATTTAAGAAGTCATTTTGAGGACAAAGTCCTCCAAAAATAGCCAGAACCAGATACTGCTGAGAATGAAGAACCTATAATCTTTGACTCATGGCATAGAAGGAAGTTACAATTGAAGATATAGAATTATACACTTTTATAAATATTGCTAAGACATTTACACACTTCTCTTCTATTTACTCAGCCTTTCAAAGAGGAGCAGCATCAGGTAATAAGAAAGCAGGCTTTGGTATTAAAGGTTTCATTTCAACTGGACATTCAGCTGCTCATATCCCTTTGGCCCAGTTGGCTTCCTTACTATATAGAGAAAATCAGAATACTTCTCTCTCTCTCAAGAGAGTCTGTGTAAAAAGCCCAGCACATGTTAGATTGTCAATATATGTGAGTCACTCTAAATCTGAATCTCTTCTTTAAAAAGTCTTCCTATGTTAGTTGGTTTCAGATTCTTAGAGGAACCATGGTCAGTAGGAACTGGACTGAATGAATATAGTACCTTGTTCCACAACCAGCTTCATCAGGGAGTGCTGTGACAGGACTTTTCATTTTTTGTTTTTTTGTTCTGAATTCAGATCTGCTTTGCTAAGTCATGGAGACGGAAGATGTTTCAAAGGCTGAAGACAAAGCTGAGGATCCAGCTTCCCAAAATGAAGGCCAGCCTGATGTTGCTCAGCCTGACTTCCCACATGGAAGGCATTCCCAGGGCCCCACAGCTCTCTGGGAGATGCTAGAAAGGAAGTTTCTGGGATATCAGCAGTTGGTTCATAGGAGCCCTGCTGAACGTCAGAAGAGCCTGTTGAGTCTTCTCCCATTGTTCCTAAAGGTCAGTATTCTTATTTTTAAAACTGTAAGTAGATGATACAGTGCTCTGGAAATGCTTTGGAATGCTTGGAAACTGGAGTTGTTGGTTTCAATATCATCACAAGTGATCTCTGGTTGCTCAGAGGAGAGTGTTGTGCTATTTAATAAAGATGGTAAGAAAGGCTTACCTCCAGGATGAGGAAGGGCATGGAATGGATGGACAGTCAGCTCTTAATATTGTCTCTTTAGTTTAGAAAGTTATATTGTTCAGTCACAACCCCAGCTTGGAAGCCAGAGAAGAGACCAGCTCCTTTGGAAACTAGAAAAGGAGTGTGTGTTTTGAGACATGAGGCACAGGGATCGCTGGTAACCTCAAACACCAGTCATGCCAACACCAGGGCCTGGAAGGGCCAAGACATCAAAATGTGCCAATAATGCAACTGAGGTATAATTAATTGGTGGGGAGCACCTAAAGCAATGCTCCCTTCCTTGGTTACAGGCACACAGGAGAAGTCCAGCCTGTCCACTGGGCCAACACCCTGGCTAGTTGCAGCTGGTGACCGCATGGGTACAGGGATTTCCTTTGTTGCCTTGGAACAAAGCTCCTGACAGTGAGGCCTGCCTTTTAGTTGGATATATTGAAGGCTGGTTATAGAGTTGGAAACACCTCTTTTTATGAGGATTTAGTTTTTGCTTTACTAGTGCTTTGAGTTATTATTTAAAAGATAGTTCTATAATCAAAGCCCAGAGAATATGAGATACTTTGCACATTGAAAATAGACTAGGACAGATGGAGGCTTAGGCAGGTTTTTATTAGGAAACCCCTTTGTTAATGTTTCACCTAACTTATTAACCAGAAATATTTAAGGATTTCCAAAGATGACTCAGAGTCTTCTTGGGATCATATTGATAAGCCACATTGAATACTTAGGCATGTTTTTATGTAAAAATAATTGTCAAATAACTTACTGTTCATTAACTCATTATTTTCCTCCATGTTTTGGACTTGTATACTCCATTCATTCCATTTCACAGATTGTATAACTGAGCCATAGGGACTGTACTGCAAAAGAAGAACTAGGTTAGGAGAGATGGCTCATGTTTTTCATTTCTAGCCTCCCTCCTATGACAACCCCAGTTTCTGGGAGATAGCTGAATGTCACCCAGTTCTCAGATCAACATTGTCTTATGAAAGGAAAAATGTGAGCAGCTTCCCACCCTGACCAAAATTCACTGGGCATGTGTATGGGTCCATCCATTGCACTGTATCTTCCCCTCCCTCCACCCCCCTCTCCTGGGCAGCCTAGCTCTGATGAAAGTACTCTGCATCTGAGAGCCAGGACTTGGTATTTCTATGCCTCTCTTCAGATTGTTGGTTTGAGAATCCCTTCATTTGTTGTAAAAATATTTGCTAAATTCCTATAATCGGTTTTAGGGCCTGGGGCTATGAGATAGAGAAGACAGATAAAGGTTTTACCCTCAGAGAGAGTTCAGTCCAGAGCAGAGGACATCAAATAGCATTCAGAATGTGGTTTTGCTTATAGGGGTTAGAAATGAATTAATGGCCTTTTTTTTTTTCAAAATGGAAAGTTTTTACCTGAAAATCAGATTTGCAGTTTCTCTTGAAAGTTTTGGTAGCTGTAATACTAATAATTGGCTAGACATGGTTAAGGACAGCTCTTTTCAACAGAAGATGGTCTTGGTCTCTAAGTTTACCCCAGTCCCTCACCCCCTAACGTCTCTCACCCAGTGCACTTTACTCATTTATGTTATCTGACCCTATAGGCATCTGAGCTTGTGATCCCAAGGATAGCAAAGAGTTCCTATTATAACTGAACCTTGATATTTGTCCATTTCCCAAATCCTGTTCTGGTAATTGGAGGCATAATGGTCTATGGGCTTTCGAGTCAGAGAGAGTAAGGCTCAAGCCCTAAAATCATTGATTATTAGCTGTGCATCCTTGAGCAAATTACTGAATATTACTAAATCTCAGTTTCTTATCTGTAAAGTGAGATTAATAACACTTTGCTGGGAGACTGTGAAGGTGAGATAAGATGATGCTTGTAAAGTCCATGGTACATGGAAAGCAGACATGTTCCCTATTAACTTTTCATCCGCCTCCAGGATACTAACTGCATATCCCCCAAACTACTGACACAACTTGCTATGTTTTGGATCCCTGGAGCCCACCTCTGATGTACCCTGGAGAAGCAGAATATTATAGGCTTTTCATCTAAAAATCTACATTCTTTTATTAAGTCCTACATGTCTATAAACTTGTTGTTTCTATTAAGTTCTGACTAATAAAACCCTGCCAGAGCCAGAGCCCTCAGGCTTCTTAATTAAAAGTTGACAGTGGAAAGAAACATGGAGAAAGTGAGAGATTTTTTTTTTTCGGATATAGTGAAGATAAAATGTGAGCTGTAGATGAAGACTGAAAATATCCATTGAAATATAAGCCCTTGTGTCAGAAGTCAAGCTTGTAACCACGCTGTTCTAAATTTTATAACCATTAAACAGTGTTCTTTAAGACCGTCTATAAAGAAGTCCCTTGAAAATATCAGGACTTAATAAGTTATGCCATGTCCTGTGAAATGTGGCTGTTAATGTCAAAGCCTTATACATATATTGGTTGTCATAGAGACCATGGCCCAACTGAGCTCTGATTTCATCAAAAAAGTCCTGGAATACTTTTTCTGGTGGATCTCAACTCTATGCCTTGCTTTTTTCTCTTTAGGGCTAAGAAAAATCATGATGATCTGGAATATTCTTTGTTCTAAGACAAGGAACAAGAGATTTTGAATTGTTGCCCCCACTTGGAAAGGGTGATGTTCCAGGGTTGTGGAATCTTGCCTACCCGGGTCAGACTCTTTATCAGGCAAACTCAGCATGGAAGGGGCGGTCCATGTGTAGTTAGGGCTCCAGAGAATGTTGATGACAGTGGGTGTCCCACCTGAGTGGCTGTCACCTGCTTCGACCTAGTAAGTCTTGAGATCTGACACTAGGTATTGTCTTTGTGTAGCAGACTTCCTCAGAGCTGCTTCTTTGACATTTTCTCCCCCAGAGAACCTCCATTTAGCCTCTTTGGCTTTCTCTCATGTCTGACTCCTCCAAACCCATAGCAGAGGATAAACTTTTCCCTTATCCCTATCATTGTGAATGACAAAAATCAATCTGCATTAACTGTTAGGCAAGTATAAAGATGAGCTTGATTTGTTCTATATTAAATTCTAGCCTCATTGGCTCATCTCCAGAGTTAAAGAACAACTTCAGGGTTGTTAAGGAGTGAACCCACTCAACACTGTGGTTGCTGTCTTGGTAATAAGGAAGAGCCTAATAGTCTCAGGGCACCAGAACCCCAACAGGGAGCTACCCTGAGGAGGTGAGTCAGAAACAAAGTGCTCTTCTAGAACTGCAGGCTCTCCTCCTGCACCAGGCTGCATCACTCCCCTTCACAGGTCAAAGGGGAGTTCTAAGTCAGGTCAAGTGGTCGCTTTCACTGATGGTACCTAGTAATCACCACGCTCTAACTGACTAAACCAGATATTTTGTTTAGTGTTTATAAGCCCTCACAATAACCCTGTGAAGTGGGTGCTCTTCTTATCCCAGCTTTACAATGAGGAAAGAGAGGTTTAGAGATGTTGCATAACTTGGCCCAACATCACCCAGTTGTTAGTGGGGAGCAGAACTTAACCTGGGCAGTTTGTGCAGGCCTGTGTTGTTAACCACTTGGCTCCCTCAAATAATTCTGGGGTTCATAGAACAGAGTACCCCTGGTTTCTCTCCCTGTCCCATGACTCAATGGACAATTGAACCTGGCTTTGTCTGGCTAGTATCTAAGTTACTTTTGGGGACAAAAAGAATGCTACCTCCTACACATGTGATGTTTGGATAGCTGAGCTGACTGCAGGGGGTTTCAGACAAGGAGGAGGTTTTATTGCATCACACAGGAAGCAGCACAGAGCCAAGGACTTATCAGTGTGCAGAGCAGTGTTTTCAGGAAGGATTCAATTGACGGTTGTTCTTTTCTTGCCAAGAGCCTTGGGCTTTGTTCTTTCTAGAACCCTTCCTATCATAGGGTTTCACACTAAGAGGAGAAGGCATTCCTCTAGCAAGTATGGGCAGATCCTGCTGGCCTTCCACTGAGTTTGTTTTGGGACACAGGAAACTTCATGTCCTCATGTTGCCCAGAGATACTCGTAGATATGGGGGGAGTGAGAGCTCTAGATGTAGTTGTTGAAGATTGTTCTAATAATATGTACTTTGAAAGAAAGCAGGCAGTGAGATGGGGAATCCACAGCAATTAGCATAAAACTCCTCACTATTTAGGACAAACAACCAGTGGGGTGTGACAACATGAGAAAAAAGGAAGATTTGTGGATGTGGTAGATTAGAGATGCTGTAAATGGGTTCACCCCTCTGCCTTTGAGAGATGGCATCTGTCCCCTTCCCTTGAACCTGAATGGGTTTGTGATGGCTGGGCTAATACAAAAAGGCAGAAGTGACATTTCTAGTCTTATACCTTAAGGGACTTGCAGCTCCCTCCTGTCATTTGGAATACCCACTCTTAGAACGCTGCTGCCATGTTGTGAGGAAGACCAAACGGCTGTATGTAAAAGCCAATGGAGAGGAACCAAAGCCCCTGACCTTGCAGGTGTACTTGCTCATGATAGCCAGTACCAACTTCCCAGCCATGTGAGTGCGCCATCTTGTGGATCACTTAGCCCCCGTTAACTGTCCCAACTGAGTGAAGCAGAGAAATCTGTCCTTGCTGAGCCCTGCCCAAATTGCAGGTCCATGAGAAAAATAAATGATTGCTATTATTTTAAGCAAGTCAATGTTGGGGTGGTTTGTTATATAGTAATATATAACCAGAACAGTAGGTAACATGGTAAGGAATTAATTCATTTCCTAGTGTGGAGTTATTGAAATTTACACTCAGTTGATTGTACTTTGAAGTGAGTATTTGTGTGCGTGCGTGTGTGTGTGCACATGGTACATGTACACACAGAGACAGGTATGTACTCTTAGGCTAACTGCCTGGCCAGTGGTGCAGAGTTCATGCACAAAGTGTGTGATTCTCCTAGAAACCAAACATAGACCCAAATGACATCGGATGAGAAATAAGTAGCATTAAATATAATAACAAGAATGACTAACAATTATTTCCAAGTGTGGTGTCCAGAAGGGGTGGTGAGAGTCAACACCCTTCCTTGTCCTTTCTGACTCTACCCCTCAGAGTGGGGCCTGCAACATGGTTTATTCCCATCTCTGGGAAACAACATTTTTGTTGTGTTAACTTTTTTTTTTAATTTACAAAAGAGAATCAAGTGTGTCATACTAGCAAGCGAAATTCATGTAAAGTCTCTGAAATGTTTTGAGCTCACTTAAAGATTAAACAACCAAACTGCAGTAATGGAGAAGTAATAATATTGCTGTCATACTTGGAAACCAACCAGGTTCTCTGTCATTCAAAAGCTGGGATTTTCTCCCATCTCCTCAAGAGCTTTTGTTATTCCTTATTGTCCTTCGGGGACTAGAGCATCATTTTCTTTTCCTTTCTTCCACGTGAGGGACAGCCACAAGGCATCATGGTGCAGCTTAGATAATGTGAGTAAATAAAAGTTTTTTAAAATATTGAGCAATATTCTCCCAGCATGCAAGTCCCAGTTTGGGAGGGGGGGAAATTAGGTCCTGTTGGAAGCTGCCTTAACTCTTTGGGGTCTCCATGGTATCATTCAGTAAATGATTGCCTCCGTGCATCAAACAGCACCCCAGTGGCCTGAAAGAGTTAACGCGGCCTCCAGAAGTGCCCACTGCTGTCCCAGGAAGGAGTGTGAGCCTTGGGAGGACCTGGCTGAGAGTACAATTACTGTTCAACTCACAGTGGCCCAATTTGCTTTATTGTAGAGTGCCTCCTGGAGTCCCACTGCTCGAAGACAATCTAGATGCTTCTGAGTCAACTGCCTGCAAATTGGTCTTTGAGGGGTTTGCCAGTGCAGGGAGGAGGCACAGGAATTTGTGAGGAAGATATCATGGCAGAGTTCTTATTCCTGGGGAGGGAAATAATCTTACCATAGAAGTTCCTAGCCAAAGGACTGACATTTTCTTTCCAGGGATTAAAGTTTCCAAGTGGTAGCTGTTTTCCAGGTGGTAGCCATAAATTTCTTAGACGTGCACATGCTACTTGGGTTTGCGTGAGATAATTCAGCTCTTTACTCTGAGGATTAACGATTCTCTGGGCTTACCCTCTGTCTCAGCCTTAGTTTCTGTAAAGTGGGAATAATAACAATATGAATCTCAAAGTGTTGTTGTGAGGATTAGTGGGAATCTAGGTGTGTGTCCCAGCATTGGGCACAAGATCAGCATGCAATACATTTGGCCATTATTCTGCATACGGAGTGTTTCATAATCATGTGTTCACTTATCAAATATTTGTTGAAGGTCTACTTACTATATGCAATAGTGTTTAACAATCATCTAGCATTTTTGTAGTTTTAGCAAAGTTCTGATGTACTGCTTTTTTATTTACAAAAGAAAGGGGGCAACTATGTCTATTTATAGGGCAGAAAATGTAAAAATATTCAGATACAAAATTTTTTTCAAAACAAAATAAATACCCAAGTACTCCCCACCCATATAAAAGGAATCAAACATTTCAGATAACTTAAAACCACCTGTGCACCCATTCTAAAGCTCAACCCCCTTCCACCTTCCTCCAATGGTAATTCCTAGCCTGCTAAATTATTTATATATATATATATATATATATATATATATATATATAAAATGTAGATTTTGAAAAAGGGTATTATAATGTGTTCTAAAAACCTGTGAGACTATTTATAAATTATACAATAATATGGATATATTTTTATAACCACAAGTAATATTATTATGTTATTTATACATAATTTCACAGGTCTTTGTGGACTCACATCGTAATACTTGCTTTTCCCACTCAACATTCCATTCTGGGGTTTATCCACATTGATACATGCAATCTTATTTCTTTTTCAGTTCTATATTGTATCCTTATATAAATATATGCCACAAATTATTCCTTCATGATCCTATTGATGAACATTATGTTTTTTCCAATTTTCACTGTCACGAATAATGCTGCAGACATATTTTTTCTCCATGCCCCTATGTGTACATGTATTTCTCCAGAGAACACACCTAGGAGTGGAATCGCTGGGTTGTAGCACATGTGCCCTTTTACCTTTCTTGGATTGGGTTAATTACTTCTTCAAAGAGTTTCTTCCAAGTTACACTTCATCATCAGAGCATGGGGGTTCCATGGTCTCTCACTGTCACCCACATTTATGATCAGTCTTTTCATTTTTACCAACTTGAAAAGTATAAAATATCTCATTGTAATCTCAATATACATTTTCCTCATTATTAGTAATTTGCTATTTGTTTTATCTTTTATTAGTTACTTGTTTCATTAGCCTGTTTTTAAAAATCAGGTTGTTTGTCTTTTTCTCATTAATTGGTGCAGTCTGTATATTATTCCTTTGTTAGTTAGATGCACTGCAATATTTTCTACCAACCCTTGGCTTGCCTCCTTATTTTGTGTGTAGCGTCTTTTAACATAGAGACAATTTTTAAAGGTTTTTACTTTTTAACAAATATAGTATCTATAGCAAGGAAACACACTGAAATGATTTCCCTTTGGAATTTTGATGACTTTCTCACCTTTTCTAGAAAGAGGATCTCAGCATAAAAAAACTTGGTCAGGTCTTTGGGCAGGAATATAACTTAATATGGCTGGTGAGTGGGAGTATTGCATGGGAGCCCAACAAAATTGCATTTTGTAGAGGCTACTAGTTATGTGCACAGCGGCTTACCTTCCCGGTGGGAACCTGGGATGGGAAATTGCTGGAATTCAAGTCCTGGGCCAAGGCTGGTCACTGCAGTCTGACCGTTGATCTGGAGAGGGCAAGCCTCACCCTAGGACTAGTGAACTTGGCCTGTGACACACAGTAGAACAAAGTGAAAAGACTCCAATGAAAACAGACATATGAATAGGATTACTACAGAAACCAGGAGAAACTCTAAAAAGGGTCTGGCATCCCACAAAGAATTTTAAAAGTCATGAATACTATTAAAGAGTATCTTAAATGATAAGGAAAAAAAGTCTGAGGAAATATCTGACTAGATAAGATAGAAATAGAGAAGGGACAGGTAAGGAAGAATTTTAGGGAAATAAAAAATTAAATAGGAGATTAAAAAATGACAATAACAACTTGGACTGGGAAAGAATTTCTTAAACCTGGATTAAAGCCAGAAAACAAAGAAATAGATGTCAAAATTTCATTTCACATGAATTTCAGTTTCTATACAGCAAAACCAAACAATACCAAGTTCCAAGACAAAATGACAAATTATAAAAAAATTGCCATAGTATAATGAACCAAGGATTAACATTTTTTATATGTAAAGAACTTTTTAAAGTAAGTAAGAAAACCATGAAAATCTTAATAGAATAACAAGTTACAAGTAAAAACAAGCAATTTAAGAAGCACAAAAGTGGTTATCTATTCTAGTAATCAAAAGACTGAAATTGAGATATTTTTTCTCTATACAGTTTCTCATTTAAGATGAAAAAGCATGACGGTGTTCAATGTTCATGTGGGTGTAGAGAAACTGGCTCTCTCCCTTGGAGCCCCTGGAGGCTAATCTGGTAAACTTTTTTCTGGAGAGTGAGTTAGTAATATGTAACAATGCACTAAGAACAAAACAAAACAAAACACAACACCCCCTCTTTTAACTTGCAATCCCACTTTTAAAAATTTGAAGAAAATAATTGCATGACTAAAATTGTGATAGCTGCATATTTGAGTAGCATGTAAAAGGAGAATCAGTGAGACAGAGTAACTGATGGGGTAAGGAGGTAAGGGAGAGGGAGACCTAGAGAGTCACTTTTGAAATTTCTCACTAGGGCAATTCTGTGCTTGGTAGGGCTGTTCAATGAGAAAAGATGTTGCCGATTTGGGAGGAAGGCAATGGATTCGATTACGTGTGTTTAATGTTTCAGGGGCATAATTTCAGGGAAAATGTCTAGGGCCCAGTTGACTGTGGGTTTGGAAATCAGCAGAAAGCTGAAGAATTCACAGATACGAGAGTAGGGACAGTGGAAATCAGAGGCTAGGTGATGTGGTGGCTTTTGGGATGCTCCTGGGAGAATAAGTTGGGCAATTGGTCTGGGCGGGCAAGGAGAGAGGGCCTTGCTTTGTAGCTCTGACATCTCTGACGAAATCCTGCTGGTTGCCTTCAGGCCTGGGAACATTCTGTGGGGATCATCAGCTTTCCCAATCTCCAAATGCTGGCAGAAGATGTTTCCAACCAGCTAGCCCAAGAAATACACAAGGCACTTGTGGGAAAGCCTGCAGGTAAGAGAAAAGAGGTCCTGGAGACAGCTTGTTGGAGGGAAAAGCAGCTCAGCAGGTGTCTCCCAGGCCTCCTGCTCAGCCCCTTTCTGCTTTCTAGTGGAGTTAGCATAGTGCCTTCCAAAGAGTCCAGTCGGCCTGGGTCTGCCACTGTGTACCTTGGGAATGAAGGGAAAGGCTAGCAGAAGGGGAAGGGGGACTTGGGGAATTCTCCTGCTCCTGGGAGGGACACACACACACACACACACACACACACACACACACACACACACACACGATCAGGGGCTCTGGGAGGAAGTGCTAGGATAAAGGTACACTCGAGTGTTTAATGGAGACCTCGATTCAGAAAGGACACAGAGGCGAAAGCACATTTTTTGTTGCAGCGTGTGCTTACTTGCATCCTTCTACTCATAGAGCTGATCCCTGAAGGCTTGGCTATGGAAGGAATTCCAGGGGGAAGAAATAACTTGAGCATGGTGCAGATTGCAGGAATCCCTGTGATATAAGGGCTGTGTGATGCAGGAAGAGGGGTGAAGACTCTGGATTGTAGGAAGACTTATTCTTATTATTTGGCAATAGGGAGCCATTGATGGTTGTTGAACAGGGATGGTGGTGTGATAAAGGCTATACTCTGAGAAGATTAATATGGCAGAGTGTGGAATGTTTAATGTAGGTTCAGGTAACATTGTGAGAAAGGCAAGAGGTACAAGTCCCTAAAGATTCTAAGGTGCATCTCATGGGGATAGGAGCTCAAGTGGGGGTGAAGCTGGGTGGGCAAGTCACTGTACCATCCTGCTGGTGACACTTTCTCCTCTTTCTGTGTTGTTACCAGAACAAGCACGGGCTGCAGCCGGGCAGCTGCTGCGGTGGAAGGGAGATGCGGATCAGGATGGCTACCTGCTCCTGAAGTCAGTGTTTGTGCTCACGGGGACAGACTCAGTAAGTTCCAGGTTTAGTGGGCCCTTCCCTGGCCACTTCTCATCTGTGTGTACAGGGGTGTCCCAACACAGGGCACATGTCAAGTGTGTCTTTCTGTCCATGACACTGATTTCTCATTTCTCCTCCCTCACTCCCCTTCTGATGTAGAACATGGACTTCGGAGTCTGAAATTCTGGTTCAAATCCTGCTTTTTCAGTTGACAAGTTATACATTACCTTGGGCAAATTGCTTTACCTCTCTGTGACTCTGTTGTGTTGCTAATTTTAGCTCTGGGGACAATAATGCCTCAGTGCCCACTGACGGACTAACTTCCTCTGAGCGCAAGCTCTGTGGCAGTAGCTTGAAAGGTTCCAGGGACACATGGGAAGGAACTGAATTGGCTGGCTTCAGGAAGAGGGGTAGAGAAGAAGATTTCCTCCAGACAGAAGTACTGGCAGTAGCTATTATTTATGTTTTTTGAGTCCTCCCCACTCCTGTCATGCAGATACAGGCTGGTGCCATATCTGCATCTTCATCAACCTGGCTAACACTTCTCACCCTGCCCTGGTGACAGCAAGACCCCACCTGACCCAACTTTAGGACACACCCAAGCCACTTCCAGTGGCTTTTCCATCTAAACGGCCTGCCTTGGTTCATGCTGTAGACTTTCCTAAAATCTTCCAAAGGTTCACAAAACCCAAACAAGCAGTATCTGGCCTCAGTGTGCCCCATACCTCTTTGTGAGCAGCACCAAGCTCAGTACTAGCAGCAGTCAGTCTTGGGTCATGGCTTGGCCTCTCCCAGGCAGCTTCAAACCCAGCATTGGTGGCTGGCATCTGCAGATTACTTTGTGGCTCATTCCATGTGGCCCCAAGGAAGGCACAGGCTGTGGCTGAACTTGGCTTGTTGCAGGGCCTCTCCCAGAAGACCCTGGGACTAGCACCCTTGGTGGCTGGCTTTGGACCCAACTGGAGAACCATCCAGTTGCTTTCTTGTGTGACACACCCAAAGGGCATACTGGACAGGCACCAGAGCCCTGCTAAAGTGAATCCTGCTCCATATAGCCAGCCCCTGCACAAGAATTTCTCCAGTGTAGTCATGGCCAGCCCTTACAACCAAGGAGCCTGAGGGTCAATTCCTCCCACTGATGTACAAACAGCAACCAAGGATCAACTACAACAGGAGGGCACACACAACTCACACAAGGGACACACCTGGAACACTCAGCTCTGGTGACCAGGGAGACTGAGGCCCTGGGCCCCACAGGACACCTACTACATAAGGCTACTTTACTAAGACTGAGAGACACAGCAGCCCTACCTAATACAGAGAAAACACAGGAAGACTGCCAAAATGGGGAGACAAAGAAACATTCCCAAATGAAAGAACAGAGCAAAGCTCCACTAAAAGAACTAAACAAAAATGGAGACAAGCAATCTACCAGATGCAGAGTTGAAAACAGTGATTATAAAGATGCTCAGTTATCTCAGAGAGAACTTCAACAAAAAGATAAGAAACATAAAAATAGAGAAACAAAACAAAAAAGAACAAGTAAGAAATGAATAATACAACAACTGAAATGTAGAATACACAGAGGGAATCAACAGTGGACTAGATGAAGCAGAGGATTGAATCAGCAATTTAGAAAGTAAGGTATCAGAAAACACCCAATCAGAACAGTAAAAAGAAAAAAGTTTAAGAGGCTTCTAGGACAACATCAAGCATACTAACATTTGCATCATAGGGGTATCAGAAGAGAAGAGAGGGAGCAAAGAATTGAAAACCTATTTGAAAAAATAATGATGGCAAACTTCCCTAACCTGGCAAAGGAAATAGACATACAAGTCCAGGAAACGCAGAGAATCCCAAACAGGATGAAACCAAAGTGGCCCACACAAAGACACATCATAATGAAAATGCCAAAGGTTAAAGACAAAGAAAGAATCTTAAAAGTAGCACGGGAAAAGCAGGTAGTTACCTACAAGGGAGCTCCCATAAGACTGTCAGCTGACTTCTCAACAGAAACTTTGCAGACCAGAAGGGATTGGCACAGGGCCGGCCGAGTGGCGCGATGGTTAAGAACTCGCTTGGGATGCCAAAGGGCCCCGGTTCGGATCCCACATATGAGGGCCAGTGACACTGCCCTCCACAGCTAAGATGCTGAACAACAGCTCAACCTGGAGCTGGGCTGCCATGAGTCGCCGGCGACGGCGTAGGCTGCACTCCCTGTGGCAGTGGGTTGCCATGGGCTACCGTGTGTAGCCAGCAGCAGCGTGAGCGGCCAGCAGCCGCAGTGAGCGGCTGTCCAGAAGCCGGCGACTGATCTGCCTCAACCGGGAAGAGCGCAATGATGGTGCTAACTTGGGCCAGTGAAGCAACATCCTCCACAACTAGATTGAAGAACAAAACGACAGCAACTTGTCTGTTCCCCTTCCCCCAATTCCCCAGCACTGTTCCCATCCCCCAATTCCCCAATAAAAATCTTTAAAAAAAAAAAAAGAAGGGATTGGCACAAAATATTCTAAGTGATGAAAAGCAAGCATTACTATAACCAAGGTTACTCTACCCAGAAAAGCTATCATTTAGAATTGAAGAACAGATAAAGAGCTTCCCAGACAAGAAAAAGTTAAAGTAGTATTAAAAGAAATGTTAGAGGGACTTCTTGAATAATAATAATAATAATAATAATAATAATAATAATAATAATGCAATAGCAACATATCTGTCAACAATTACTTTAAATGTAAATGGATTAAATGCTCCAATCAAAAGACATAGGGTGGCTGAATGGATAAGAAAACAAGACCCTTACACATGCTGCCTACAAGAGACTCACTTCAGATTGAAAGGCATACACAGACCTAAAGTAAAGGGATGGAAAAAGATATTTCATGAAAATGGGAATGAAAAAAAGCAATACTTATGCAAGACAAAATAGATTTTGAAACAAAGGCTATACCAAGAGACAGAGAAAGATCCAGTAGTCCCACTTTTGGGTATTTATCTAAAACACTACTTTGAAGGGACATGTGCATCCATATGTTCATTGCAGCATTATTTACAGTAGCCAAGATATGAAGGCAACCTGGGTGTCCATCAATGGATGAATGAATAAAGAAGAGGTGGTACATATATACAATAGAATATTACTTGGCCATAAAAAAGAATGAAATCTTACCATTTGCGACAACATGGATGGACCTAGAGGGTATTGTGCTGAGTGGAGTAAATCAGACAGACAAAGAGAAATGCCATATGATTTCACTTATATATGGAATCTAAAGAACAAAATAAACAAACAAAACAGAAACAGACCCAAATACAGACGACATTTTGATGGTTGCCAGCTGGGAGTGGCATTGGAGGAGAGAGTGAAAAAGATGAAGGGATTAAGAAGTACAAATTGGTTGTTACAAAATAGTCATGGGGATGTAAAGTATAATAAGGAATATAATCAATTATACTGTAATAACTTTATATGATGTCAGATGGGTACTAGATTTATCAGGGTGATCACTTTGTAAGTTATATAAATGTCTAATCTCTATGTTTTACACCTGAAACTAATATAATATTCTATATCAACAATATTTAAAAAATAAAAAAGTTATTAAACCCTCCCCAGAGAACCATGCTTTAAAAAGAAAAGGATATAATGTATATGTTTGTAGAGCACAGTTTATATAAACTTCATCTCACAGCTGCCCTAGGTGGGTCCTATGATTGTCTCTGTTCTTACTGGAGAGTGTGTTGCCCAGCGAGAGGACGTGACTTACCTCCATTCCTCCCTGCTATAAAAACCACACAAGCCAATAGCATGATTTGGGGTCTGGAGCAGTGCTATGCTGGCTCTGTGGCCACAGGTCACGTGATGTTTGCTGTTCCCTTGCAGGAGACACTGGGCAGAATTGCAGAATCTGGACTCCCAGCCCTGCTCCTGCAATGTCTTTACCTCTTCTTTGTCTTTCCTCTGGAAAAGGATGAGTTTCTTGAGAACGATATTCAAGTTCAGAGGATGTTCATGCAGGTGAGTGAGAGGACGGCTGGACTCCCCTGGGCCAAGACTGTGCTCTGCTTCTCGGTGATGCTCTCCTTCCTTCAGCCCTAATTCTGAAGCTCCTCTGTTCTCCTCAAGGGCCTAGCTCCCCGCTCTGTCCCTGTGAAGCACAAATGCCGGGAATCCTGTGCATTTGAAAAATGGATTTTCTTCTTGTCTTTCTATCTCATTGTATCTGTGTATCCATATTCCCCTTGTTCTCCCCGAGAAAGGTGTGCCCCTGCTCTTCCCTTGGTCCCAGCTCTGTCTCCAGTCTGCGTTCCCAGGTCCTGCCCACCCTCCCCAGCATCTGGAACCTCCTGCTTCCGGCCACTTCCCTTCTGAGAACAAACATGCTAACCCCACTTACATAACTGTAGCCAATGTTTTCTCATTATGTGCTCTGTACCCACCCTTGTACCATGGTCCCGTCTCTATCACCTCCGAGAGCCCCCTGTTTCATCCCCAGATGTGTGTAGTATTGTTCTGATTCTATAAAAACTAAGGTGCAGTGAATAAACATGAGCCCAGGGTCACAGAGGTAGTGAGTGGGGGCTGGGGTGGGAACCCTGGGAATCTGGGTGCCAAGTCCACTCCCAGTCAGGTTTTTAGCCACTCAGTGATGTTACCTCCTTCCTGCCTCTCAGAAGCCATCTCAGGCCACTGAGCACCCAATGTGATTTCCTTTCATCATTCCCCATCTCTCCTGTGCTCTCTGATGGCCAGCAGTGGCCTTTAACATAACTTCTCACCTCCTTCCCCTGCCCCCTCACTGACAAGTTCTGCTTTCCCGGCTTCTGGAGGCTGCAATTTCCAGAAAACTACTTCTGCCTGTGTGTGGGGGTGGGGGAGGGAGAGGAGGACTGTGTGTCTTACTCATGTTTGTGCGTCCAGGGCCTGGGCAGTGTCTCACACAGAGCAGGTACTTAGGACCATTTGTGAATTTTCAAATGCAGCTGTCCATTGAATATCCACATTGACACTCATTTTATTTTATTTTATTTTTTTAATTTTTTTTTTTTTAGCTGAGCCATCCTGCCACCTGTTGGTAGCTCAGCAGCAGCTCAGCTTGGGCCAGGGCTCGAACCACTGTTGCTCAGAGCTCACACTCTTGAGCGAGCTCTTAACCAAATGAGCCACTCGGCCAGCCCTTGGCACCCACTTTAGATTAATTCTCAAGCTGGAATCATCATTACTGGAGAGTATTTCACAAGTTCTGGTGGATTCCACTTATGGTAGGTTATTCCCTAAGCTGCATTTGTTGGAAACTTAGGCCTCATTTGCCTGTATGTAGTCATATTTCAAGGGTGGCCAGGATGTAGTACTAGGCACATTAACAAATCTTTATTGTATGGTTTTATGTGCAGGGAGTGAGTGCAGCCCAGTCTGAACAGTTTTCTCCATGGATAGACAAACTACAACCCACAGTGACAGACCATGTCTGCATTCCTCAGGGTTTTCCTTATTTCATTCTGCAAAAATCTTTCCTACTGGGTCTGGCTCTATGCTAGACCGATGGTTCCTGCAGCAACCACAGTCCTCTCTCTCGTACAAGTGACAGAGAGAAGATGCAGAAGCCAAATGGGGGAAGAGTCACATGAATAAGTAAGCAGTGTCTGATTTTTTAAGTGCTCTGAAGGAAATGTCAAGGTGTGCTGGGAAATGAGCACAGGGGACCTGATTTATAGTCGGGCATAAAGAAGGCTGTTCTGAGGAGATGACGTTGAACCCGAGCTGAAGGTTGGGGTGGAGGTGCGATGGAGGGAGGAGAGGGATGAGGAGCAGAAATGGTTGTCCAAGCGGAGGGTGGCATGGCCACATCAATAGTCAGGGGTCTGTAGCCAGCCTCAGGGCTGCCCAGCTTGGACTCTATCACTGTGCTGCAGGGGCTAATGGACTCGGGTGGAGGGAACTTTCCTATTTGCTGAACTGGAAAAAGGTCCAGTTGGATTGGCGAGAGCTCATGCTCGAAGAGGCAGGTTGAGTCCCTGAAGAGCTCTGCATGTATGATTCACCTCAAGTAGATAGATGGTGTTGGAAGTCCATGGGGACTGAACTGGCAGGAACAAAGGCCCCAGTTTGGAGGTTATAGGACAGTGCCCATGGTCTTATGGAGAAGTGGGGTTTGAGTGCTACAGAAATATGTCTGCTTTTTACATAGCATTGGTTCCTGTTAATTCTATCCTTTAATGGTTGATATAAAACGACACCTCTCTAAGTAAAAAACTTCTTTGTTATTCTGACTTCGAAAGGATAACAACTGTCTCTATAAGGATTATGAGCTGTAACTGAAGCCGCAAGTCCCGTCATCTTTTTCTAGGTGGCATTGTTGACCATGCTGGTCTGGGGCAGAGGGTGACCACACACAACCCCATCCTTTGTGCTGACACATGCCCATCAGTGCTCTAGAAAAGTAGGGAACAAGTCCATTGCAGGAAGGAGGCTTTCTAACCAGTCTTTTTGGCTTTCTCTCTTTCTTTCTCTCTTTCTTTCTTTCTTTCTTTCTTTCTTTCTTTCTTTCTTTCTTTCTTTCTTTCTTTCTTTCTTTCTTTCTTTCTCTCTCTCTCTCTCTCTCTCTCTCTCTCTCTCTCTCCTCTCCCTCCCTCCCTTCTTTCCATTTTAATTAATTAATTAATTAATTAACTTATTTATTTATTTATTTATTTATTTCAGATGTTGGTCAACATTTGCAGTGAGTCTCAGGGGCTGGAGAGACTTCTCTCAGGGAATGAACTCCAGTCTTTAATGATTGCCACAACCTGTCTCCGGGAGCACAGCTGCTGCTTTTGGAAGGAGCCCACCTTCTGTGTGCTGAGGGCCATCTCCAAGGCCCAGAACCTCAGCATCATACAATACCTGCAGGGTATGTCCCCAGGGGCCTGGGGTGGGCTATGGGCCCACTTTCTACAATAAGACTCTGGGATGCTCTTGCAGCATCACAATAGATTTCTAGGACCAAAATAAGAGATGGACAAACAAGGTTTTCACTGATATCCATCTATGCCCAGTAGATGACCCTATATTGCTTGGGTCCGTTAATGAAAGTGCTTTTATTGTTTATTTTGATGCTCCACTGAAGGAGGGAGATAAAGGGGTACTTATTTACTGTCTACATACGGTCCAGCAGACACTGTGTTGGGTCCGTTTGTATGTTATCTCATTTTTTTCATTGAGATAGATATTAATGATTAATACTATTTTGTAATGGGGAAAACAGAGATTAGGAGTTGCTGCAAAATTTGCCAAGGTTCCAGCTATCGAAGAAGAGAATCAAATTTTAAGCCTGGAGGTGCCCGATTCCAATGCCTTAGGTTCAGCTCTGGGCAGCATGTATAGGGGTTAAGGCCATAGATGCTGGAACTAGACAGCCGGGGTGTGACTCCAGCTCTGCCCTCATAGTTGAGTGAACTTGGACACTTATCTGCTTAGGTGCCTCAGTTCTTTCGTCTGTAAAATGGGGATAATAATCCTGCTAATCTCATTGGATTGTTGTGATGCTTCGGTGAATTTACATATTTGAAGTGCTTGGATAGCTCCTGGCACATCGTGGAAGCCCCATAGACGTCAGTGTCACAGCATTATCACCTGGTGTGATCAAGGCATGGCACTGAGGGACTCAATTCCCTTAGCAGGATCAGGGGCTCCTGTAGCATTGTCTGTCTCCTCCTGAGAACCCAGACAGCATTGGAAAGCACGGACACCACCTTGGCTCATAGAATCTCGGCAAAGTGTATTGGCCTCCTTTCAGCACCCGGCCCATCACAGGGCCAGGAGGGAAGCTCCGCAAGGATACCTCCAAGGGCAACACTTTGACAGAGACTCACTTCAGCTGCCCTCCTCACCCACCATGTGGTATTTCCTGAGCTCCACCAGTTAAAGTGGCTCTTGGGAGCACAGCTGTCCATCTGTTGGGCTGACCCCAAGGTATGGGGTCTTTTGAGGAGTGGCTCAGAAACTGCCAATGTGACCTGCTTGTCCACAAATAGTTGCCCTGTGGCCTGTCTTCTTCCTGGGACTCCTGTATCAGAGGACATCATCCAGTGACAGCTGGAAGAGCTCAACACGCCCCCCTCTTGCTGTAACTGAATCTGGGATGAAACAGCAGCCCTGGTTTAGGCATTCAAAGCTCCCAGTGAGGTCAAGGCCTGATGGTTATGGCCCAGGGCTGAGCCGGGCCTGAAAAGCTTACCAACCAAGCCTAGATTGGAGACCCCTGAGAAAAGGCTCCATGCGCTGGTGTGAGGGTCCCTTACTGTATTGTTATTCTTAACTGGAGAAGAAAAATTCTGCCTCAGTGGGGAGTCTGCCACCTGGAGCACGGTACCCTCTTAGGGGAATGGGTAGTCTGTGGGCATCTAGGCTGAGGAGAAGGTCAGAAAGGAAGGGCTGATCTGGTGGTTACCTGCCAAGCCCTCAGCTCTGGGGGCTCCCCCCTCCCTCGCAGCATGCAGACTTTCTGGTGCATCTGAGGCCTCACAGCTGAGGGGTTGAGCATGTGCTATTTAAGTTCTCAGCAGGCACTTTTCCTGACTTTCTCAGCACTCAAAAGAGACTTCTCCCAATGAAAGAGCCCTAAAACCAGTGATCAATCAAAATGCAAATCCAGTGACATCTCTCTTCTGACTCAAATCTTCCCTGGCTTTCCATGGCTCTGGGGTAACCAACATGGCCAGGCCCCAAAGGAGCCGCCCCGTTTTCCTCCCCCTGCATTGTGGCCCACACTTCTGGGCTCCAAAACCCCAATTCTTTCATAGCCGAGACCCACCATCCTTTTGCCCCTCACATTCTCACATATTCATATCCTCCCCTGCACTTTTCATCAGGCTAATTTCTGCTCCTGTCTGGTGCTCTTTCCTTAAGGCCTTCCACAGTGCTCCGGTCTGGGGTCTTGCATCTCATTACCTAGTGGCCCTGGACCCTTCTATGTGCTGGGAATTAGGAGTGGAGGGCTAAGAGGCTTCCTTCCTCTTTGTTTCGCCTGCTCTCCACCTGGGTCTGCCCAGCATGGCTCTCAGGATGGCATTTCCTGAGGAGTCTTCTTGATCCAAGAGCTAGAAGAAACATGTTTTGGATTAATTTACATTCACATTTTGATGCACAGTTTAGACGGGTAAGGTGGGGTGGGGGTGGGGGTGGAGGATGACTGGGAGAAAAGCTGTTGCTTCTGAGCAAACAGTGCTGTTTTCTTCCCACAGCCATGGATTGTATCAAGATCTCCCTGCAGAACCTCTCCAGGCTTGCAGCCTCTCTCCCTGCCCCCGAGGTGAGCGAGGTTGTGAACCTGGTCTTGGGCTTCGTGAAGGACTCCTACTCTGTCTCCCCTGCTCTGCTCCTGGAGTTTGAGATCGGGGAGGGCTATCCCCTGCTCCTCAAAGTGTTACTCCGGTAAGTGGCTGTGCTTTGTAGGGGAGAACTGCTAAACCCAGGTCCTCAGAATCATTTGGGGTGCTTTGGAGAAAGACAGATATTGAGGCTTCTGAGAGGGTCTTCTGGAATACGAATCTCTGCAGAGCATGGCCAGAGAGACTTATTGCAAATGTAATTTAATGGCAGTGGGCTTGGGGGTCACTTCCTTAGAGAACCAGTGAGTAATTGTGACAATAATTTCACCAAGTCCCCATGGTGGTATGCACCACTTACATGCCCACCAGCCTGACAGACACCTCTCAGAACCTGCGCTGTGTTGGAGGGCTTCTTGGGACTGCTATAACCAGCTCTGCCTATATGCTTGGGAGCTACCAAGGAATCAGCAACTCCCAGGAGCAGCCCTCAACCAATGGCTGGCAGAAGCTGATGGATAAACACCGGGCAAAGCTGCCCTTTGGTGGTGGTGGTGGGGGGAGGTGGGGGTTGGGGCAGCTCTACTCTGCCTCCTAGCATCCTCAGGAGGATTAATCTCCAGTTTTCCGATGAGGCACTTGCTTGATAAGGCTCCGTACTGACTTCCTTCCCTTCTCTGTCTCACAGAGCCTCTCCCTTGCTGGTATTTTGGGATCAATCCCCAGTTAAACTACTCTCCCTCAAATATTTGACCCCTGGGGAAAGCAAATGAGGACACCATTCAGCTGGATCAGGCTATTCCTCCACTCTGAGTTGCCATATCACCTCGGGTTGGGTCCAGGGATTGGATATGCCAAGAGGTGGAAATCAAAGAAATTCCTTGATTTTCCAAACTTCCAACTGGCCTTTGCTACCAGGGAGGTCTATGCCATAATAGTCCTTGAACATTTTTTTGGTTAAATGGGTGGCTGCTTTGCCCCAGACTTCTTGTGGGAGATGGGAAATGGGCCTGTTCCAGGGAGTGTCAGGAAAGACTGTTGCAGTGGATTGGTTCCCCTTTCTGCCTTAACTGAAGTCACACTGCAAATAACTATTGACATGGCAGAGCTGGAATAAGACTTGAGTACCCTTCCCCACAAGAAGAGCAAGGTAGTCCACCGACATATAAGTAGCTAAAAACAAAAACAATACTCAACCTTAAAATAAGCATGAGGAAGTTGAATAAGGTCATTATTTCCCATGATGTTCCTTTGGTTGCTCTTTGGAAATGCCAAATCTCTCGTTTGTGAGGTGCTCCTGCCCTGCTGGTGCCCGAGGCACGTGTCTTTTGGGGGGTCAGCCACAGAAAGCAGCTTTCTTGTGAGCAGATGCTGTTGCTCTTCCCATGTTTTTCTGTATTCTGATCGCACATTTAGATCTAAGGCTGACCTTTGCAAACAGAGTGACTTTTACCCAGACACTCCCTTTACCTCTTGGTGCTGACTTGGTGCAGACCTTTGGGATCTTCTCCAGCACCTCAGTCTGTGTCACCTCTGCATCCCAGTGAGGAACATCATGAGCAAATGTGGCTGCTCTATCTAAGAAGTTCAGAGAACTGGACTCATCTGTCCCTGCAGGTATGACGGGCTGACCCAGAACGAAGCAGACCCTCACCTGGAGGAGCTCCTCGGGCTGGTGGTGTGGCTGACAACCTGTGGGAGTTCAGAGCTGAACGTGTTTGACAGTGTCACTTACCCTCAGCTGGAAGGCTTCAAGTTTCATCACGAGGCTTCTGGTGGGTCATCTTGTGTCTCTGAGTGCCTGGCAGCCACTGATGTTTAGCCTGACAAGGCTACACAAGTCTTTCCTGATTCTTGGTAATGAAACAAACACTTGGCATGTGTCAGATACACAGTGGATTTAAAATCTCTCCTTTATAGGTTTTTCTAGGTGTCTTGGGTGGGGCTTAGAGGAAATGTTTGCTTAATAAAAGCAAAGACAAATAATAGAGGGAACCTCTGATCTCCACCGCTACTTCTGGTGTGACTTACTCTGTGACATTTGCTTATATAATGAGGACTGATGGCCCGGAAACAACCCAGGCTCAGAGTCAATGTCTCCTCTGTACTTTGAGATATTGACTGACTGACTGATTGATTGATTGATGAACTCAATCAGCATGCACTGGTGCTTTCTGTATAGCAGACACTTTGCCCCATGCTGAGTACCAGCATGAACAGGCCAGGTGTCCACTCCCTACAAAATCTCGGTAGAGACTGTCACACATACACAGAACCATAACCTGCTTGATAACTGACTGATAAATGCATGAGGCACAGTGGTGACACCAGGCAGATGTCTGTGACAGCCAGGAAACCCTGTACAGAGGGCGAAGTTTCAAGGTTAAGCATGGGTTGTCCAGGTAGAAAGGAAAGGGAAGGAGTTTAAAGCCAGAAAGTACAGCCTGGGGAAAGAAATGGTGGCTGGAAACACTTAAGTGAGTCTGGGGAAACGAGCACAGAGATTTCGCAGACCATAGTGTGGGGGCTGCAGAGCTTGGGGTCAGTTTAGGAAGAGCCATTGGATGGGACTCCAGCAGGCTCACAAGGAAGTGCCTGGATCAGAGAGAAGTTCCAGAAACATCTCTGGTGTCTGAGGCAGAGAGGGCTGAAGGCAGGGAGTTCTCAGATGAACTGTCTCCTGGGCAAGAGGCTTAACTTTCAATATGGAGACATAGGAGGAGGGGTGGGTTTGAAAGATGTCTTTATTTAATGGCTTGTTTAGAAATGAAACTGACTTTGCTTAGTTATCTTTAATATAATCCAATTTTAATTGATTGAAACCAATCCTCCAGCCCAGTGCTGCCCAATGGAAATATAATGTGAGCCAATTTACCTAATTTTAAATGTTTTATTAGCCATATTTCTTTTAAAAAAAGAAGAGACAGCTTAATTATTTTTCATAATATATTTTACTTGACCCAATATATCGAAAATATTACCATCTCAACATGTGGTTAGTACAAATAATTGTTAATGACATTTTTGTTTTGTATTATTTTCTTTGTCCTATATCTTAGAAGTCTGGTGTGCGTTTTTACACTCATGGGACATTGCAGTTCAGAGTGAAATTTTGAATGCTCAATTAGCCACCACATGTTGGACAATGAAGCTATAGTCTTACACTCTGGACAGTTAGATTTCTGGACTTCTGGTTGAAATTTACCGACAGGAGCTAGAAAATAGAAACTTTAAATGGTACTTCCTAATGCTAATGCAATCATGTATTTCTAGGCATAGGCTGGAGAAATGACTTGTAGGATTGTTCCTTTTTTCATTTTTAGGGGTAACTGTTAAGAATCTTCAGGCCTTCCAAGTCCTGCAGAATGTTTTCCACAAAGCCAGAGACTCTGTCCTATGCACGAAAGTCTTATTGGCCATCAGGACCATGTGGGCCTGGAACGCCCGCAACTTCTTCCTGCTGGAGTGGACCCTGCAGCCCATCTCGCAGTTTGTGGAGATGGTGCCCCTGAAGCCAGCCCAAGTGCAGATGCACTTCTTCCAGTTGCTGGAGGCCCTGGTGTTTGAGCTGCGTTATGTGCCCCATGAGATCCTGGGAAAGGTGCAGCGCCTGATCAAGGAGAGCTCAGAGCCACTCTGCACCCTTGCGGCCCTGCAGAGTATCCTCAGGATAGCTGGGGCAGACCCTCTCTTCACAGACATCTTCCGGGACTCGGGGCTCCTGGGCCTGCTGCTAGCCCAGCTGAGGAGGCGGGCCAAGATCCTGAGGAAGTCAGGTATGTCAGAGCTTCGGAGGCAGGAGGGGAACAGACTGGGGTCAGCGTTAGCTGGGCCTGGTCTGCATGCCTGCCCTGCCACCCATTAACATAACAGAGAAAGTGAGTGTGCCAATGTTACCTGGTGCCATGAGGGTAAGGGAAGGTATCCCTGGGACACATGACTTCATAGAGCAGCAGCCTCCTTATTTTCTATAACTGGCCTGATCTTCCCCATGAAGAGATGAGTGGGGTGGGGATAACTTTAAACACAGTCATGGGGCTAACTCAGGCCTGATGAATTCTCAGCTTTCAGAGGTCTTTTGCACTAGATATTGTCTGAGTATTCAGGTGGAGAGATAGCAGGGGGAAGGACAGGTCCTCAGTAATGCAAAGGGAAAAGAGAGATCAGGGAGACTTGGGGCTCTGGTGGGGATCTCTCTGGGTCAGCTGGGATACAGCTGCTTACTCGGTACAGTTGGTCCTGATGGTGTCCCACTTGGAGCGGAGTCATTGCTGCCCAGCTCGCTCTCTTGTGTGTACCATGCTGGGCTGTACACAAATGGTTCCTTGACTCCTCCCCCCTGCCTCAGTCCCTACACTCTGGACTCTCAATAGCAGCCTCTTCTCCCCCATGGGACTTCAGGGTCCCTCTGTCCAGGCCAGAGTGCACTCAGGAGTGCTGGCCTGGGCTCTCTCACTGCCTGACCACGCCCCATGCACATAACCTGCTGGGGCCACTCTATGTGGTTCTCTGTAATCTCCACCTCTACCAACTTTCAAATAGGAATCAAAGTGTGAAAACTCCTTTCAGTTCTTCCTGGCTTTCCCTTAATCTGTCCACACCTGCTCCTCTGGGATTTCAGCCTGAAGGGCAGTGGGACACAGGAATTTAGCCACTTACCTCTCTTCACCTTTCAGCCTCTTCTCCTCCCACTATACTTGCTGGGAGGGACGGGCTCAAGCTGAAGTCATCAGTCTTTCGGCTTCTTGGGCCTCTCTGAGAGGAAGAAGCTGAGGGAGAGAGTGTGAGCATTGGGACCAGCCAGCCCTGTGCTCGAATCCTGGCTGTGTTGCTTACGAGCTGAGTGATCCTTAGCAAGTTGCTTTACCTCAATGAGCCTCTTTTCTGTAAAATGGAAGTAATAATATATACCATAGAGCTGTTGTAAGAATTCAATGAGGAAATATCTAAAAAGGACCTATTGCTCTGTTTGGCACATAATAGGTGCTCAAGGAATGTTAGTCATCTTACCCCTATAGGCCCTGTGCTACCTCATGGAAGACTGAATTACACATGGGAGGAGGAGCTCTCACACACCTTTGGAGTCTAGGAAGGACACATGCCTCCCTGGGAGTGTCAGAGCTGACCATAAGGCACTACCATCTTAGCATATCTGGGCCCCAAGCCAGGCCTTGGAGAGTCTTTTGTATGTGTTTCTTTCTAGTGCCCTTTGTACAGTCTTTTTGTTTAAATATTTTTTTTAATTGGGGAATTGGGGGGATGGGAACACTGCTGGGGAATTGGGGGAAGGGGAACAGACAAGATGCTGTCATTTTGTTCTTCAATGTAGTTGTAGAGGACGTTGCTTCACTGGCCCAAGTTAGCACCATCATTGCGCTCTTCCCGGCTGAGGCAGATCAGTCACCGGCTTCTGAATGGCTGCTCACTGTGGCTGTTGGCCACTCACGCTGGCTGCTGGCTACACACGGTAGCCCATGGCAACCCACTGCCACAGGGGCTGCAGCCTACGCAGTCGCCGGCGACTCAGGGCAGCCCAGCTCCAGGTTGAGCTGTTGTTCAGCATCTTAGCTGTAGAGGGCAGTGTCACTGGCCCTCATATGTGGGATCTGAACCGGGGCCCTCTGGTGTCCCAAGCCAGCTCTTAACTAACACAACACTCGGCCGGCCCCAGTCTTTTTGTTTAATGTTTCAGTGTTTCCTTAGCTGTATATTGCTTTCTAGAAGACTAACATTGAATTACTCTTAAACCCAATCCCAGACCTATGACCATTCCCAGAATTCAAACTTTTATTTTTTGTGAGCTGATGTATCCAATCTTACTTTGCGCCTTCTATTAACAGTTTATTGTTGTTTCTTAGATACTTTGTCTCCTGGCTAATAAACTCTTCATTCATTCATTCATTCATTCATTCCCCAAATATGTATTGAACTTCCCTCTTGTCAGGCACTTTATGGCACTGGGGATTCAGTGGAGAACACACAGGCCTGGTTTGCCCTCATGGATCTAATGGAGACACTACGTACTCCAGAATCTCTCAGGTATCTCCATGCCTCTGGTGCGAGCTGGCAGTCATCCCTCCCCGGAATGAATGGCAAACTGTACAAGGGTTCAAAGGAAAGTCAAGAAGGCAGGGCTTTAGGGGTTATGTAGAATACTGGTTCTCCAAGAGTTTTCCTCAGACCTGCCCATCAACATTATCTGGAAACTTGTTAAAAATGCCATTATAGGACCTCAATCAAGACCTCCTAAGTTAGAAACTGGAGAAGGGGCCTAGCTTCTGGATTTTAACAACAAACCCTCTAAGGGATTTTGAGGTGCTCAAGTTGGAAAACCATGGCTCTAAGAGATAGTAGAGTTACCTGTTACGATTTTGGATGCACACTCTCTTATAATAGAAGCATTATCTTCACCTTTCCTTAAGGGGACAGAAAACTAATAGAATCAGAGATTTGGGATCATACCAGGTGCACTTAAAAATATTTTTTTATTGCTTAAATATGGCAGGAAACAAAGAGTCCATTCTCGGTGCTCAGGATCCAGAAAGAGAACTGACCTGTGTGATGCTGGAAACCATAGTCACGCTTCTAAAAGGCTCAGTTCGGAATGCGGGTAAGGATGGTACCAAATTAGTCTTGTCAGTGCTTTAGAAAACATTAACTATTTTCGGTGATTTATGTCAATGTTCAAAGGTTATGGCCAAGGACTTACCAGCACTAACGTGTGGTCAATATCCATTTGCTGTGTTGTTCAGTGATCATCAGGAAATTGGTAGACACCTCTGTTGACATCTTTTACCTTTAAAGTTGCTAAATAAGGTTGGGAAGCAAAGGTATATCCTAGTTCATGAGACCACAGAGCATCCCCCACCCCATCTTTCCATGTAAAATCCATTAATATCCTGCAGCACTGACTATATTGTTTTTTTAAAATTATTTTTTAAAATTATTATTAGTTTCGGGTGTACAAAACAATGCAATAGTTATCCTTTTCACCCCTCACAAAGTGACAACCCCCCTCCCTCCATCCACTGTCCCCCGACCCCCGATATTATACATATCTATTACAATTCCATTGACTCCATTCCCACACTATACTCCACATCCCATGACTATATATGTATTAAATTATAGTTGACATATAATATTATTCAATGGCAGCTTCAGATGTACAGTGCAGTGGTCAGGCCTCTACACCATCTATGAAGTTCATCTCCCTTACAAGACATGAGTCCATCTGGCCCCCTAAAAGATATTTACAACATTATTGATTATATTCCCCAAACTATCTTTTCTATCCCTGAGGCAATATTGTAGTTACCAGTTTATGTTGTTTCGTCCCTTCCGCTTCTCCCTTATCTCTACCTCTGTCCCGTCTAGCAATCATCAGTTTTTCCTCTGTGTCTTTGAGACTATTTCTATTTATATTACACGTTTATTTAGTTCTTTACATTCCACATATAAGTGACTTCATATGGTATTTGTCTTTCTCTGACTGACTTATTTCACTTAGCATAATGTTCTCTAGGTCCATCCATATCATTGCAAATGGTACGATTTTCTTCTTCTTTATAGCTGAGTAATACTCCATTGTGTAAATGTACCACAGTTTCTTAATCCAGTCATCTACTGAAGGGCATTTTGATTGTTTCCAAGTCTTGGCTATTGTAAATAGCACTGTAATGAACATAGGGGTGCATATATTTTTTCGAATTAGTGTCTTGGGATTTTCTGGATAAATACCTATGAGTGAAATTGCTGTGTCCTAAGGTAGTTCCATTTTCAGTTTTTTGAGATACTTCCATGCTGATTTCCATAGTGGCTGCACCAATCTGCAATCCCACCAACAGTGCACCAGGGTTCCCTTTTCCCCACAACATCACCAGCACTTGTTTATTGATTTATTGATGATAGCCATTCTGATCGGGGTAAGGTTGTATCTCATTGTGGATTTTATTTGCATTTCCCTAATGATTAGTGAGGTTGAACATTTTTTCATATGCCGCTGGCCATCTGTATGTCCTCTTTAGAGAAATGTCTCTTCATATCCTCTGCCCATATTTTAATTGGGTTGTTTGTTGTTTTGGCATTGAGTTGCATGAGTGTTTAATAACTTTTGGATATTAACCCCTTATCAGATATATCATTGATAAATATCTTCTCCTATTCAGTAGGATTTCTTTTTGTTTTATTGATGGTTTCCTTTGTTGTGAAAAAACTTCTAAGTTTGATCCCTATGTTCATTTTTTTTTTTAATTTCCCTTGCCTGCGGGGATGTAACAATAAATATGTTGCTCAGGGTAATTTCTGCAAATTTACTCCCTATATTTTCATCTAAGAGTTTTATGGTTTCAGGTCTTACATTTAAGTCTTTAATCCATTTTGAATTTTTTCTTGTGTATGGCATAAGGAGATGGTCCAGTTTCATTTTTTTGCATGTGTCAGTCCAATTTTCCCAGCAACATTTATTAAATAGACTATCTTTACCCCAATGTAAATTCTTGCTTCCATTGTCATAGACTAACTGTTCGTATATGCATGGATTTATTTCTGGGCTCTCTATCCTGTTCCAATTGATCTATGTGCCTGTTTTTATGCCAGTCCCATACTGATTTGATTACTGTAGCCTTGTAGTATGTTTTGATGTCTGGTACCATGAAACCCTCAACTTTGTTCTTATTTATCAGGATTGCTATGGATATTCGGGGTCTTTTTTGGTTCCATATAAATTTTAGGATTATACTTTCTATTTCTGTGAAAAATGCCCTTGGTAGTTTGATAGGAATTGCATTGAATCAATATACTGCTTTAGGCAGTATGGACATTTTAACTATGTTAATTCTTTCTTTCCATGAGCATGGTAGGTGTTTCCATTTATTTGTATCTTCTTTTATGTCTTTCTTCAGTGTCTCATAATTTTCTCAGGACAGGTCTTTTATTTCTTTGGTTAAATTTATTCCTAAGTATTTTATAGTCCTTGAAGCAATTGTAAATGGAACTGTTTTCTTAATTTCTCCTTCTGATAGTTTATTATTGGTATATACAAATGCAACTGATTTCTGAATATTAATTTTGTATCCTCCTACCTTACTGAATTCTATCAGTTCCAATAGTTTTTTGATGGAGTCTTTGGGGTCCTCTATATATAGTATCATGTCATCTGGATATAATGACAATTTTACTTCCTCCTTACCTATTTGGATGCCTTTTATTTCTTTTTCTTGTCTGATTGCTGTGGTTAGAACTTCCAGAACTATGTTGAATAAAAGTGGAGAAAGTGGACAGCCTTGTCTTGTTCCTGATCTTAAGGGGAATGGTTTTAGCTTTTCCCCATTGAGTATGGTGTTCGCTGTGGGTTTATCGTATATGGCCTTTATTGTGTTGAGATATGATCCCTCTATTCCCACTTTGCTAAGAGTTTTTATCATCAATGGCTGCTGTATTTTGTCAAATGCTTTTTCTGCATCTATTGATATGACCATATGATTTTTATACTTCATTTTGTTGATGTGGTGTATCACATTAATTGATTGGCGGATATTGAACCAACCTTGCGTACTAGGGATGAAACCCTCTTGATCATGGTGTATTATCTTCTTAATATATTGCTGAATTCTGTTTGCTAATATTTGTTATGGATTTTGCATCTATGTTCATCAGGGATATCGGCCTGTAGTTTTCCTTTTCTGTACTGTCTTTGTCTGGTTTTGGAATCAGGGTGATAGTGGCTTCATAGAAAGAGTTTGGGAGCCTTCCCTCCTTTTGTATTTTTTGGAATAGTTTGAGAAGAATAGGTGATAATTCTTTTTTGAATGTTTGGTAAAATTCACTTGTAAAATCATCTGGTCCAGGGCTTTTGTTTGTCGGGAGCTTGTTGATTACTGACTCAATTTCCTTGGTAGTAATCATTCTATTCAGATTTTATGTTTCTTCTTGAGTTAGCTTTGGAAGGTTGTATGCTTCTAGAAAATTATCCATTTCTTCCAGATTGTCAAATTTGTAGGCATATAATTGCTCATAGTAATTTCTTAAAATTTTTTCTATTTCTGTGGTGTCGTCACTTTGTCTCTTTCATTCCTGATTTTGCTAATTTGAGTTCTCTCTTTTTTTTTTTGATGAGTCTAGCTAAAGGTTTGTCAATTCTGTTTATCTTCTCAAAAAAACCAGCTCTTGGTTTTGTTGATCTTTTGTAGTGTTTTTCTCATCTCTATTTCATTTATTTCCTCTCTGGTCTTTATTATCTCCTCCCTTGTACTCCCTTTGGGCTTATTTTGCTGTTCTTTTTCCAGTTCCCTGAGGTGTAAGGATAACCTCTTGACTTGAGATTTTTCTTGTTTGTTTAGGTAGGCCTGCACTGCTATGAACTTCCCTCTTAGGACTGCTTTCACTGCATCCCAGAGATTTTGGGTTGTGGTGTTTTCATTTTCATTTGTCTTGAGGTATCTTTGATTTCCTGCTTGATCTCATTTTTTACCCACTTGCTATTTAGTAGCATGTTATCAGCCTCCATGTATTTGTGTGCTTTCCAGATTTCTTCTTGCAATTGATTTCTAGTTTCATAGCATTGTGGTTGGAGAAGACGCTTGGTATGATTTCAATCTTAAATTTATTGAAGACTTGTCTTGTGGCCTAACATGTGGTCTATCTTGGAAAGTGTTCCATGTGCACTTGAGAAGAATGTATATTCTGTTGCTTTGTGGTGAAATGCTCTGAAAATATCAGTTAAATCCAGCTGGTCTAATGTGTCATTTAAGGTTGCTATTTCCACATTGATTTGTCTGGAGGATCTCCATTGGTGACAACTGGGCATTGAAGTCCCCTACTAGGATAGTGTTACTGTTGATCTCTGTCTTTATGTCTGTCAAAATCCGTTTTATATATTTAGGAGCTCTTATGTTGGGTGCATAGATGTTTACTAGGGTATGTCCTCTTGTTGGATCGATCCCTTTATTATTATGAAGTACCCTTTTTTGTCCTTTATTATATTCTTCAATTAAAGTCCATTTTATCTGATATGAGTATCACTACTCCAGCTTTTTTCTCAGTTCCATTTGCATGAAATATTTTACTTTCAGCCTGTATGTGTCTTTTGATCTGAGGTGTTTCTCTTGTATACAGCATATGCAAGGGTCTTGCTTTCTTATCCATTCAGCCACCCTATGTCTTTTGATTAGAACATTTAATCCATTTACATTTAACGTGATTATTGATAGGTGCATAGTTATTGCCATTTTGTTATTTGTG